TGTGTGTGTACAGCTATAGATTTAATGGGCAAATCCTGGGGACACGTCCTGCTGTACTGAAAATGCATTCATTTGTTCACACTCCAATAAAACCCATGAAATGCAGCAACAACACCATTCAGTTAAGAATGCCTCCAACAGGACCAGTTTCTTTCTTTAAAAAAGATTAATTATGAGATCACAGTATTGCTTGTGTGGTAAACATAATTATCCGTGCCACACAAAGTGTTGTGATCTCAGTGAGTCCCCTCTGGAACCGTGCAGGCAGGGTCATTTTATGTAGTACAAGTGGTGCTGATTTGCAGAAATAAGTGCAAATCATGCTGAAACATATTGTGGTGAGCTCAGGCGAAGTAGGAGACAGAGACTTCTGTTTCAACCTGCTGTTCCTGCGCTAGCCTCAACGCTAAGCTACAGGAAGCACAGCCTTTTATTAGGAATGCCCTTTCACACAAAGCAATAGAGAGAAGTGCTCAAAATCACAGTGCTCTGCCAGCCACGCTAAGCACAGAACACACAGCTACAGTAATGTTACATACTAACAATAGCAATGACAAATCAACACATGTTAACTGTAGCAGCCGTTATAATGTTACAACTTAGAAACATTAACATCAGGTATAGACCTATAAGCCCTTGGGCCAGCGGCCCCTCCCCCTAGCCCTCTACATAGCCCGCACCTGAAGGGGTCAGTCATCCCCAACAACCCCATCACCCCACACAAAGTCTTTCAAATGTTCAAGGGCCTTCTTTAGGCGAGTTGTCCGGTTGAGCCTGCTACAATACATTAGCCATTAATATTCAGCAGCTGACACATTCAAATAAATTAGGAAGTCAATTGAAATGAAAAGATCACACTTTCATATTTATGTTTATTTTTTTGTGTTTGTACACATGTGAGAGAGAGAGACTCACCTGCCAAACTGAGTAAGGATTCCTGGGGGGAAATAGGCTGTGTAGCAGCCTCCAGAGTACTCCTCTTCACACCAGTTCTTCTCCTCATAGTGCACCGGCTGCAGGAAACAAGCAGGCACATGAGCAGTCAGTCAAGCGATTCTACAGTATCCACATGACTGTGTACCACTCTGCACCCAAACTCACATGCAAAGCTTCATCTGTGCCCAGCACTTTGGAGTAGATCTCACAGATCCTCCTCAACCTAAACACAACAACACAGGAGTTGGGATTAAACTGATCTCACAGCTTGTGAGAATTTTTTTCCATCTCTGTCCACTGGTGTCTACCTTTCTTCCTTGGACAGGCTTGAGAGCTTTCTGCACTTGTGGGCAAGGATGAATCTGGGGGGAGAATGAAGAGAAAACACTACATGAGCATGTGTGGCTGGTTGGATGACTTTATCACTTGTGTTTAGCTCCATTCAAGCACAAGTCCTACACTGTATGGAAATAATTGTAGGAGCTCATGCGAGAATACTAGGGCAGAGTCAGATGGTAAAGCTGAGACACAAGCCTACAGGCAAGTCAGTAACCCTCTGATAATCACTAGTGAAAGAAATGTGTATTTCAAACTGACTAAAGCACTCATCATGGTGCAGCATTGTATACTTCTTTGGGGCTGCTGATATCACTTAACGCTAACTGGCAAACTCCAGTAACCACTTGCCAACCAATCTTATAACTCAGGTCTGAAAGCTGTCCTGCAGCAGGTAAATATTTTTGGCGATGTAGTGTACAATATGGAATCAATATACACAATTACAGAGAACTGTTTGAAGCTCTGTACCAACCCCATAATACAAGGTACAGTCCCATCAGGCTTTGTGTCATCCAGGGTGAAGCCGATGGGAGCGCCCTCCTCCTCTATCACCATGCTGCCGCAGTAACCTGGTAACAAAATAAAATGTTAGAAATGGCATCATCTTGAACAGCATTCGCTCTGTGTTTTCACTTCCTGCGTACCCTTTTTCCTCCAGAAGTTCTCTCTGTAGTAGACCATGCACTTTATGATAGAGCCCATGGGAACACGGTTGATCAGCTGGTTCCTCAGTGGGGGCAGCTCAGGGTTGAAGTGCATCTTCAGATTCAAAGCAGGTGGTGTGGCCACGATCACATACTTGGCCTAACACAGAGACAGAGACAGTACACAGTGTGTTCCAATAGTCCGTTTATAACTGAAAGATGTGACCCAGAAGTATCTGCATGGTAGTCATCAGCCATAGTAAGAGATGTTG